TCTCTTCTCTTCTCTTCTTTGTTCACCCAAAACATCCTCAGGAAACTCAGTTCGTCCACTTCTAGGATCACTGCCAACAGACTTGGATTGTTCTCCATGGCACAGCATGTTCTGTTGTTCTGTATTCAATTTCAAGAATAGTTTATTTGTTCTTTGATCCCGTCCTACTGGGTCTAAATAGAATGTAGCTAAAAACATTTGAGTTAAATGTTAACAGCACACCAAGTGGGTTCCAGTGAAGTTGGAATAAGGAATTTTTATTTCTATGCTGAATTGGGTTTGCTTGTTGCTCGTCGGCAGGCTCCAGCTTTCTACTGCCTGGATGCCCCCAAAATTGCCGCCCTCCTCCTTTGCCGCCCCACGTTATGATGGCTTCTTGTCCACATTGTTCAGTGTCTCTGCAGTGAATCCGACATGAAAATATTCCAGTTGTTTATGTCAACTGGTTGATGCTGGATGATTACCCATTTAGTTGTTTCGAGCTTATTGATGGTTGATGCTGGATGATTACCCATTTAGTTGTTTCGAGCTTATTGATGGTTGATGCTGGATGATTACCCATTTAGTTGTTTTGAGCTTATTGAATTACCCTGAGCTGTTAACAAGAAACTGAACCTCCAGGACCAGGGAAAGTAGGTAGTGACATCCATTGGCCAAACTCGTGTATTCAAAGAACAGAGCCTGCCAAATCCTCTCAGGTGCTATGCAGAATAAAATGCATAGGGTGAAGACTGCATTTTATTCTGCATAGCACCTGAGAGGATTTGGCAGGCTCTGTTCTTTGAATACATGATTCATTGTGTGATGCCCGTGAAACTGGGGTTAAAGATGGGGCAACGCGTCCAATGGCTCAGGGCCAGAGTTAGTAGTACACTCAGTGTTACTGACGCTCTGAGTACGCAGAATGGGTGATCCTTCTACTATCCCTTTGCGGTACTTACAAGACTTTCTTCCCCAGGCATTTGTTCAGTACCAGAATATTGGTTTCTGTCTGGAGCGCCTTCTTTCCCTTTCCCTGAATCTGTGTGTTTTAGTCCGCTGTGGTCGGCAGGTCCATGCCCTTTCTGTGAATGAATGAGTGCAGGGCTGTAGGTGCTGATGAAGAAGAAGAGGAGATTGGATTGATACCCCGCCCTTCACTTGGAGTCTCAGAGCAGCTTACAAACTCCTTTCCCTTCCCCTCCCCACAACAGACACCCTGTGAGGTGGGTGGGGCTGAGAGAACTCTGACAGGAACTGTTCTTTTTCAAGAACAGCTGTGCCAGAGCTTGTGACTGACCCAAGGTCACATCAGCAGGTGCAAGTGGAGGAGCAAGCAATACGTTTCTTGCTCAAGCGTATGAGGAGAGGTGGTTATGACTTCCCCGCTTTCCCGACTAGAAAGGCTCCGGGGAGTTGCTGTTTACAATCCACAAGGATGACGCACACTCCCAAGACGGTCTGGTATGAAAAAATGTACAGATGTGTGCTAGATGCCCACAGAACAATACATTAACGAAAAAGACTAGATTAAAGCCATAACATGATTTAGTGTCTGGTAATAAAAAAAACAGTGGAGCTGCGGTGGCTCAAGGGGTTAAGACGCTGAACTGCAGGCTGTGGAAGGTCGGTAGTTCAGCAGTTTGAGACCTGAGTGTGCCGCATGACGGAGTGAGCTCCCGTCTCTAGTTCCAGCTCCTGCCAACCTAGCAGTTCGAAAGCAAGACATTGCAAGTAGATAAATAGGTACCACTACAGTGGGAAGGTAACAGCGTTCCGTGCGCCTTGGTGTTTAGTCATGCGGGTGGCCACATGACCACGGAAATGTCTTCGGACAGCGCTGGCTCTTCGGCTTTAAAACGGAGATGAACACTGCAACCCTAGAGTCGGATTCAACTGGCTTTCGAGCAAGGAAGCCTTTACCTTTACCTAACAAAAAACAACCACTTATTCCTTCATGGAAAAAATACAAATGTAGATAAAACTTCACACAGCTGTCTGCTCCAGACTCTCTCAATCTATATCCCTCTAACAGTCTTGTATCCTTATCCAAATTTCCAAAAGCAGTCTGCTCCAAATTCAATCAATCTGTGTATCTCTTTCAGTCAACACCTTTTACGGATATCTAAGTGTTTCAGACCTCTGGTCTTTCCTGAGGAAAAAATCCTATATTGACTATAAGATTCCTTTTGGGAATTTGGATAAGGATACAAGACTGTTAGAGGGATATAGATTGAGAGAGTCTGGAGCAGAGTGCTATGTGAAGTTTTATCGACATTTGTATTTTTTCTGTGAAGGAATAAGTGGTTGTTTTTTTATTACCAGACACTAAATGATGTTATGACTTTAGTTGCTGTTTACTCCATTTGGGAAACTTGCAGGTAGCTGTCAGTGCAGGGCCCTCTCCCTGTGCGTTGTGCTCCCAATCCAAATCAGGTTCACATTTGCCCAGGAGCTGAGTTTCCAGTGGGGAACCACAGCTACATCTCGTAATGTATTTATTGGTTCTTAGTTGCTTCTCTTCTCCCATCCCCCTATATTAAAGCTTTGGTGCTTCCTTCTTAAGAACATAAGAAGATCCCTGCTGGATCAGACCAGTGGTTCATTTAGTCCAGCATTCTGTCTCACACAGGGGCCAACCAGTTCCTCTGGAGGGCCAACAACAGGGCAGAGAGGCCGAGGCCTTCATAAGAACCTCAGAAGAGCCCTGCTGGTTCAGACCAGTGGAGCATCTAGTCCAGCATCCTGTCTCACACAGAGGCCAACCAGTTCCTCTAGAGGGCCAACAACAGGGCATAGAGGCTGAGGCCTTCATAAGAACATCAGAAGAGCCCTGCTGGTTCAGACCAGTGGAGCATCTCGTCCAGCATCCTGTCTCACACAGCGGACAACCAGTTCCTCTGGAGGTCCAACAACAGGCCATAAAGACTGAGACCTTCATAAGAATATAAGAAGAGCTGGATCAGACCAGTGGTTAGGGTTAGTCCAGCATTCCTATCTCACACAGTGACCAACCAGTTCCTCTGGAGGGCCAACAACAGGGCAGAGTGGCCGAGGCCTTCCCCTGATAAAAACATGAGAAGGGTCCTGCTGGATCAGACCAGTGAGGTTCCCTCTAGTCCAGCCTCCTGTCTCACACAGTGGCCAACCAGTTCCTCTGGAGGGCCAACAAACAAGGCAGAGAGGCTGAGGCCTTCATAAGAACCTTAGAAGAGCCCTGCTGGATCAGACCAGTGGAGCATCTAGTCCAGCCTCCTGTCTCACACAGCAGCCAACCAGTTCCTCTGGAGGGCTAACAACAGGGCACAGAGGCCGAGGCCTTCCCCTGATGTTGCTTCCTGACTCTCGGATTCAGAGGCTGAATGCCTCTCAATGTGGAGGTTCCCATCAGTCACCGTTGCTAGTAGCCACTGATAGACTTATCTTCCATGAAACTATCTAATCCCCTTCTTAAAACTGTCTATTCCTGTGGCTGTCACTTCATCCTCTGGCAGTGAACTCCACATTTTAATCGCCTGTTAAGTAAAGAAGTGTTTCCTTCTTATGGGAGTCTGGCAGAGGCCGGAGGTTTTCCAGGGATAGTGATATCCAAGTTGACTCATTTCAGGACTCCGCCACAAGGAAAGAAGCTTAACTGTGTTTTGGTCAGGTAGGTTGCTAGGAAACCAGAGCAGGGATCGTGGTTTGTGCGATGTGGTTTGGTGTGATTTCTGGACCAGTTCCCCGCAGTTAATCCCATTGCAGTGCTGATGGAATGCGAGCCAAGGCCCGCCATTCCAAACCAAGGCCTGACCTTTCAAACAAGCTGGTAGACCATCGTTTGGGGTGTTCTCTGAAGTATGAATGTTGCAGTTTGTGTTTGGGCAGGGCATATGTATGAAGGATACAGCTGCCATGAGCCCTTGTGGATAAGACAGATGAAAAAGCTAAATTGGTTTTCTGTTTAGATGTGTTCTCTCTCTCTCTCTCTCTCTCTCTCTCTCTCTCTCATCTGAACAATCAAGTTAAGAATTTGTTCTCGAAGGCTTTCACGGCCAGAGTACATTAGCTGCTGTAGAGCTTCTGGGTTGTATGGCCGTGGTCTTGGCATTGTAGGACCTGACGTTCTGCCAGTAGCTGTGACCAGTGTTCCTTCTAAGCTGGGTTTGTGTGAGCTAGCTCACAGTTTTTTAGCCTCCGGCTCACGCATTTTTGTCTTAGCCCAGGGAGGATGGCTCCAGAGCAAACCAATTTATGCAGCAGCCAAATCGCTCGTTCACAACTTTAATGCCAGTAGCTCACAAAGTAGAATTTTTGCCCACAAGAGTCCACAGCTTAGAGGGAGCATTGGCTGTGACTGGCATCCTCAGAGGTATAACACAGAAAGAGGTCTAACACAGAAAGATGGAGTGCTCTCTTGACACAGAGAGTCCTCCATCTTTCTGTGTTATACTTCTGAGGATGCCAGTCACAGCTGCTGGCGAAACGTCAGGTCCTACAATGACAAGACCACAGCCACACAGCCCGGAAAATCTACAGCAGCTAGCGAGTTAAGAATTGTTTGCCTGGAAAATGACACAGAACAAAAACTAATTTTAGGAATTTTCAGTAACAATGATAGAACTTGCTTGTCAGGACGCATAATGCATCTAAACTGAGTCCATCAGGTTAGACCCCTTGGATCAGTCCTGTCAGTGCCTGGTGCAAGGAGACGACTCCTGTTTCTTGCATAGTAAATAACAGAATTCTGTTAGGGGGATGAAGGCAGGCCAATAAATGGGCTGACCTCCAAAGTGCCCCTAGACCTTTGTGCTATACAAAACTAACGTAGCCATTGCGGGCGTCCACAATTCATCGGCAATGAGGAATGCATCCGATTGAATTGTTGGCTTAAGAGAAGGAGCACAAAAAGGGAAACTGGGCTCTTCCTGTGCAGTGGTCACTGTGGATCCGGATCTTGTGAAGATAAATGAAAACGATGTGAATTCGGGTTGAATGCTGAACATGCCGTGCAAATATATTTCCCCCCCTTTCTTTACTAGCAAAATCAAGTAGGAAACTTACTTTCCTATACCTGGCGAATGATGTCATCCAGAACAGTAAACGGAAAGGACCGGAGTTCACAAGGGAATTTGAAACTGTTCTCGTGGATGCTTTTTCACACGTTGCCAGGTAGGTATACCTTCAGCTTCTCTTTATCCAGGGGGCCGGGGGTGTGGGGTGGCTGTAAGCTTCCTTTCCTTGATGTGCTGGCTGCCAGAAATAAGACTTGAAGAAGTGCTTTTTCATATAGGGATTTCCGTTCTTGGCGGGTTCAGGGGGAAACTTGGCTGCCTGTTGGTGCAGAAATCTGTTGCATCGGAACAGCCGGCGCTGGATCAAACCTGTCGTTTTTTGGCTTTCAGTGGTGGCCGCTCAGGAGCCCCTGGGGAGCTCACGGGAGTGCGAGACAGGCGGAAGCAGTCCCCTGTTGGCTGCCTCCAATGTCAAGCGTGCTGCACTGAACGGGTTTGAAATCAGCAGTTTTTTACCCAAGTCACGTGAAAGGCCAGCGTGAGAGTCTGTCCCAGCTCAGGCCTTTGTCTTGGGTCTCCATTGATACTGTTGTAGAAAAGTAAAGCCAGTTTGGTGTAGTGGTTAAGTGTGCGGACTCTAATCTGGGAGAACCGGGTTTGATTCCCCACTCCTCTTCCACTTGCACCTGGCTGGATGACCTTGGGCAAGCCGTACTTCTGATAAGAGCTGTTCTTGAAAAAGAGCCGTTTCTGTAAGTTAGCTCAGAGTGACCAGGTCAAGGTTCTGATTTTTTCCCTCCAATATGACACAGTGCTGTTGGGTTGGGGTTTGTTTTTGTAACTGTTAATTCATTACAAGTCCCAGACCTGAATCTGTGTAATTGAACTCTCTTTAATGAACTCTGGCAATGGCAAATGCAGTCTCTTCCAGGCCCTAGGAATTTGTAACGGTGATACGATTCTGGAAGTGGCTAGTGTTGGCACAGATCCACTGTCTCTCTTTGAGCATCCCCATAAAGCTACTCCAGAATGCTCCTAGGTCCTGCACTGCGCTCTACACCCCCAGAGGTCCAGCAGGGCCTGGAGACCTTGCTTTGGCGTAGTTTAGTTAAGTGTACCCAGTTTGGTGTTGCGGTTCAGTGCGCGGACTCTAATCTGGGAGGAGGAACCGGGTTTGATTCCCCACTCCTCCACTTGCAGCTGCTGGATGACCTTGGGCAAGCCGTAGCACTGAGAAGAGCTGTTCTTGAAAAAAGAGCAGTTTCTGTCAGAGCTCTCTCAGCCCCACCCACCTCACAGGGTGTCTGTTGTGCGGAGGGGAAGGGAAAGGAGTTTGTAAGCCGCTCTGAGACACCTTTGGGTAGTGAAGGGCGGGGTATGAATCCAATTTCTTCTTCTCTTCTTCTTCTTCTAAAGGTCACGGGAGTTGTGCGGTACAGAAACAGTCAAGAGGTCGACATTATTCTTGTGTGTATGTGTTTGTCCCCCACCCCCCCGGCATTGCAAAGAGCCAGTTGTGTGGGGAATAAATTGCTAGTTGCGCTTGAAAAGAGTTGAGACCTTAATGCTGTTAACCTGATATTTTTATGAACTGCCTCTTTTCCTCCAAAGCCTGCCATCCAGTATGTAAATGGGGGGGGGGGGATGCAGAGGGGTAGAAGAAGAAGAGGAGATTGGATTTATACCCCACCCTTCACTACCCAAGGAAGTCTCTGAGCGGCTTACAAACTCCTTTCCCTCCCCCTCCCCACAACAGACACCCTGTGGGGTAGGCGGGGCTGAGAGCTCTTTGAAGAACTGCCCTTGAGAGAACAGCTCTGAAAAAAACTTGTGACTGACCCAAGGTCACACCAGCAGCTGCATGTGGAGGAGTGGGGAATCAAACCCGGTTCTCCCAGATCAGAGTCCGCGCTCTTAACCATGACACCAAACTGGCTCTCATGGGGAGAGGCGGTCCCTTAGATATGTCGGTCCCAGGCTGCTTCAGGCTTTAAAGGTTAAAACCATCCCCTTGAAGCCTTAGAAGTCCACACTCCAAAGCAGCCACCTTCTCCAGGGAAACGCATCTCTGTTGCCTGAGTTCAGTTGCAATAAAAGGAGATCTCCAGGCCCTGCATGGAGTTTGGCAACCTGGGACATGCACTGGCGTTGATCATTGAAAGCGTTGGCTGTAGGACTCTGGAGCAGCCACCAGCTGTAACCTTTGCCTCTGTTGAACTATCGTTAGCTTGCTCAGCTCCTGCTGTTTCTTCCGAGACTTACCTGGGCCCTCCGTTTGATCTTTCCGCACCATATAAACGTTCATTTCCGAGTTCAGCAGCCCTAACTTTCCTTAGTTCTGCTATTTTGAAGGGCTGTGATTGTTCCATTCAGATGACCAAATCATTGTATTCCCTGCAGAAATCTCAAGTTGTTTCCCTCAGTCTCTCAGCCAGCAGGCCCATTCGATTGTTAGTTATTCCACGGGCCGTCACTCTGTCTGAACACCGCTTTAAGTGAGGTCAGCGTCACGCCTGCTATAGATTTATCAGAGTCCCCCCTCAGCAGACTGCCTTCCTGCTGGGTTCACTCCATCTGTCTCTGGGTGACTCTTCTCTCACGGGAAGACAGGCTACAAATGAGCAGCTACGTGTTGTTTCCCGGCATGGGATGCATCATCAGCTGGTCAAAGGCTGCAGTGCCGTTTAGAGAAGACCTTAGACTAACACACCAAGTATATCTCCAGTGCACAGAGGGAGAAGAGCAAGCTGGTGCTTTCTGGATAACTGTTTAACTGTGAACATTGCAGATGACTAGTTCAGGGGTCCGTCCCCCGGTGGGTGGAAATCCAACAACAACATCCGTGACAAAAATAACGAAGAGTCAATAAAGATAAGTTGCAAAATCATTTACTGTAGTAATTCTGCAGAAAATTTTCTTCTGTTATCACTCACACGCTAACGTATGCTGCACAATGTTAATTTGTTTCACAATATTTGCTTTATCTGAGCGTGTAGAAGAAGAAGAAGAGATTGGCTTTATAACCCGCCCTTCACTTGTAGTCTCAGAGCGGCTTACAAACTCCCTTCCCTTCCCCTCCCCACAACAGACACCCTGTGAGGTGGGCTGAGAGAACTCTGACACAAACTGCTCTTTTTCAAGGACAGCTGTGCCAGAGCTTGTGACTGACCCAAGGTCACATCAGCAGGTGCAAGTGGAGGAGTGGGGAATCAAACCCGGTTCTCCTAGATTAGAGTCCGCACACTTAACCACTACACCAATCCCAATTCTTATCAATTACTACTTGTTGACTCCTGAAGGAAACATTCCATGTTGACTCTCTAATAACAGAACCCAGGGTCTTCACAATGTGTTAGCTGGATTCTAGAAGCCAAACACAAAGTCTCCACTGCTAAATTGCTACCAGCCACTGCAGTTGTTGACATGGCGCAGCATTCGTTAGCGTGTGAGCGATAATAGAAGAGAATTTCCGGCAGAATTACTACAGTAAGCGATTTTGCAACATCTCTTTATTGACACTTTGTTATTTTTGTCACGGGCGTTGTTGTTGGATTTGCACTTCCTCCCGTGATCTCTCGTCTTTGGCGTCCCACCTGGCACCTTTCCTGGTGCCTGCCAAGTGTTTTGAGAAAGTGGGCGGGGCCAGGTGGAACCCCCCCCCCCCCCCCCCACTTCTGATTGCCTCTGCGGATTTTTTTTAAAAAATGTTCCTTTGGCCTCGGCTGCCGCCTCCAAGAAGGATCTTCACTGTGTGATTGAAGATAAGCCGTGTCAGCCATTCTATGGCTGCACCCGCCACACCGTGGCAGGATTCCAGAAGAGCTCACCGGCTCCAAAAAGGTTGGGGAGGGGACCCCCTGACTAGACAGCCCCATTGCTTTGAAGCAGCATGTTTGAAATCCAGGCGCCTCTTGATGCTGGTGTAGAGGTGGGCATCTTTCCTGGCAAGCCCCACTTGTTTGCCAATTTGGTGTTGTGGTTAGGCGCGCAGACTCCAATCTGGGAGAACCAGGTTTGATTCCCCCCTCCTCCTTCACACGCAGCTGCTGGTGTGACCTTGGGTCATTCATAAGTTATTTCAGAGCTGTTCTCTCAAGGGCGATTCTGGAGAGCTCTCTCAGCCCCACCTAGCTCACAGGGTGTCTGTTGTGGGGAGGGGAAGGGAAAGGAGATTGTAAGCCAGTCTGAGATTCCTTCAGGTAGTGAAGGATGGGGTTATAAATCCAACCTCTTCTTCTTGTTCATCTTGGGCTTTTGAAACTGCTGTGCCTCCTTGTCTTTCCTTATTCTGTGGAGGAGAGCCAAGTGCGGAAGCATTTCTGTTCACAGACTCTTTGCCTGTGTGTGCATTCAACACTTGCATTGGCATGTTTCAATTTACTTCTCTTTAAATCTCTCACCCTCCAGAGAGGCAGACGAGGGCTGCAAAAAGCCCTTGGAGCGACTGCTGAACATCTGGCAAGAAAGGAGCGTGTATGGCAGCGAATTCATACAGCAGCTGAAACTGTCCATGGAGGACTCCAATAGCCCCCAACCAAAAGGTAAGCAGGCCCTGCTTTTAAAAATTACATGTTCCATTTCCTCAAATGATTGGTTGCTGTGTAACAATGGGTACTGAATGGCACTGCTGCTAACTAGTGTTCAAGGACTCCCGCACCAGCATAATTGTGGTATCTGCTCAGGTGTGGAGCCAGCTTGCTGCAACAGTGGGAGGGCTTCTGGCCTCGCTGGTGGACCTCCTGATGGCACCTGGGTTTTGGCCACTGTGTGACACAGAGTGTTGGTCCAGCTGGGCATTGGCCTGATCCAACATGGCTTCTCTTATGTCTGAAGCGGTGATGCTCTGTCTTCTTGGTGCTGGGGGGGGGGAGCAACAGTGGGAGGGCTTCTGGAGTTCTGGCCCTGCTGGTGGACCTCCTGAGGGCACCTGGTCTTTTTGGCCACTGTGTGACACAGAGTGTTGGACTGGATGGGCCATTGGCCTGATCCAACATTGGCTTCTCTTATGTTCTTATGCTGTCGTGGTTGGACTCAGGCTGGGATTGGGAGACCGTAGTACAAATCCACACTTTGTATCTATTTACCAGGGACCTGTCCCTTCCTGTTCCACCTTCCAGCCCTGTAGCTCTCTGTGTTCACACTGTTATTTTACATGCTCCACAGACTAACCCCAAAATCAGCATTTGGCCATATTTGCGCCCTGTGCTGATAAGCATTCTCAGTAGGTTTTGTTTGAGATAGGGTCACCGTGTTAGTCTGTCTGTAGCCGTCGAAAAGAGCAAGAGTCCAGTGGCACCTCAAAGACTAACAAAATTTGTGGCAGGGGAGGAGCTTTCGCGAGTCACGGCTCACTTCTTCAGAGCTTTGACGTACGTTGGTCAATTGACGGCAGTTTAATATTTTTGGCACGTGGCCTCTTTTCTGAGCCCTTCGTCTTTCGTAGGGAAGCCCCACTTAGCTGCCATCTTGAGACCAGGACAGGAGGACGTGGTATTAAAGCGAGATTTCAAATCCGTCCTCCTGTCCTCTGTGGCACGGACCAAAGTGTCGACAGCTGGTGGCGGCATCGTTCCCAGCAAGCAGAGCCCGAGAACGGCTTCCGCCCTCCAGGGCTTTATCCTCTGGCGGGAGCTTTAATTCTGGGATTTTCCCTGTGGATGGTCCTGGGAAGTGGTCTTTGGGAGAGAGCAAACACAGCGCAGCCGGTTGGCTTCCCTCGGGCTCTGAGTCGGAGGGCCTGTCGATGGCAGGAGGCTTCGTTTTGTGCTCTGGAAGCCAGCCAGGAACACCTGACCCCGCTGTACAGCTCGTGGCGGCGGCTGCCTTGCGACCAGCTTGCGCGTCGTCTTCCCGTGAAGCTGCCAGATGCCGCCTCCCTTCCGGACCAGATTTCTGAGGACGTGTCAGACACCCCTTGCCTTCCAGCTCTCAGCCATCTGCATGCCAGCGCCCACCTCCTGAGTAGCCCTGTGTTTAGGAAGGAAGGGTCTTTCATCCCGGGCAAGCCGAAAAGAAAGGCCAAGTGGCAGGGGGAAGACATACTCGCCCAGACGGCCTGTAGTTGCAAGCGGTGGGACCCTTCTTAGAAGACCGCTGTCTGGCCTGATCTTAAAGCCACCGGTGCCACACAGGGAGGCTTCAGCTGACTTTGTGCAGGTTTTTGAGCCTGCCCTTTTTAGGGTAGCTAATTGAATGTGTGGGGAAAGTACAGCAGGTTCAAGCACAGTCGAACAGACGAAGCTACCATCGGTCCATCGAAGTCAGTGTTGCCTATTCAGACTCTCCGGCAATGTTCCCTCTAAGCTGTGGAGTCCTGTGAGCAGAAATTCTACTTTGTGAGCTACTGGCATTAAAGTTGTGAGCCAGCGATTTGGCTGCTGCATAAAATTAGTTTGCTCTGGAGCCATCTTTCCTAAGCTAAGACAAAAATGTGTGAGCTGGAGGCTAAGAAACGGTGAGCTAGCTCACACTAACTCAGCTTCGAGGGAACACTGCTCTCCGGGGTCTTCCGCTGAATCAGACCCTCGGTCCATCAAAATCAGCACTGTCCACTCAGACTGTCAGTGGCACTCCAGGGTCTCAGGCAGAGGTCTTTCCAATCCCCCGCTGCCTGGTCTTTTGGCTGGAGCTACCAGGGATTGAACCTGGGGCCTTCTGCATGCCAAGCAGAGGCTCTGCCGCTGAGCTACCCGGGCAGGAGTCTTTCACATCACCTGTTACCAGATCCTTTTTAACTGGAGATGCTGCCAGGGATTGTACCTGGGACTTTCTGCATGCCGAGCAGGTGCTCTGCCACTGAGCCATGGCCCCTCCCCATAACCAATGCTCCCTCTAAGCTGTGGAGTCTTGTGAGCAAAAATTCAACTTTGTGAGCCACTGGTATTAAAACTGTGAGCGAGCGATTTGGCTTCTGCATAAATGAGTGTGCTCTGGAGCCATTCCTTCCTGAGCTGAGACAAAAATGGGTGAGCCAGAGGCTAAAAAAATGTGAGCTAGCTCACACTAACTCAGCTTACAGGGAACACTGCCATAACTGGTGCACACCTCCTTCAGTCACTTTTTGGTTAGGTCTTCAGCCTGGCACCAGGGTTGTGGTGGCACTGATGCCCCTGGAGCTTGTTGAGCGGATACCTCCCAGCTGACTTTTGTCAGGCCTGCATTTATTGCAAAAGCTTCAATCCAGGGGTCATTTCATAGAAAAAGAGGTGCAGGAGCTCATTTGCATAACTCATTTGCATAGGCCACACCCCCTGACCAAGGGCAGGCATATTTAGAATGCCTTTCTCTCCCTTCCCCATCTGGGCTGGCTGGAGAAGGAGAGGGGAGGGCAGGGAGGCAGACAAGACTGGGTTCCCTGCCCGATGTGGCTGCGGGGCACCTAGAGAAGATTGGGCAGGGAACCCAGGCATGTGTAGAATGCGCAGGCAGGCCAGGAATGGTGAGGTGGGGCCTTCTTTCTGCCTGAGCGCCGCTCTGCCGCGCTCCGGCAGGAAATGACCCCTGCTTGATTCCCTTACAGAAAGGAGTAACTTTGCCACAGTGGCCCACGCTCCTGTGTCTTGTGGGAGTGGCTGCTGCAGTACACTGTACGTGAGGCTAGTGCAAAAAGGCTCACTTCCTGGTGAGTGTCGGAAGATGGGAACTCGCTGTGGCAGCTGTTGCAGTTTGACAAATTGCCGGTTTGCTTCTGAGCTGAGATGCCTGCCCTAACCCTGAAACCTGGGCCCTGCACGGAGCCTCCTGGTGGAAGATCAGGCTCTCCTCCAAGTGCTGGCTTGAAGAGAAGGACCTTCACTGCACTGGTCCCCAGACCCTGAAATCCCCTTCTAGAGGACCTGTAGAACTGTCCCCCTCTTATCTTATCCATGCAGCTGATGGTGTGTCCTCAGGTCAGTCACAATTTCTCTCAGAGCTGTTCTCTCAGGAGCAGTTATCTCAAGAGCTCTCTCAGCCCCGCCTACCTCACAGGGTGTCTGTTGTGGGGAGGGGAAGGGAAAGGAGTTTGTAAGCCGCCCTGAGACTCCTTTGGGTAGTGAAGGGCGGGGTATTAATCCAATCTCCTCCTCCTTCTCTTCATCTGTGCCTAGGAAGGATACGAGGCTGACTTGTTCGGGAAAACATTTGTCTATAGAACTTGCCTGGGTAGATTCCCTGTAGATTTTTGCTGTTTGCTGTGGTTGTTGGCTTGTATTCATTGCAGGGGTGGGACTCTGTGAGCTGCCCTGAGCATTATAGAGGTGGCATTATATGCCTTAAATAAATGCAAACCAGTCGCTTGAACACCTTTTCTTGGGCAGCGCCACTTCTGCAGTGACACGACTGCCTGAAATAAGCTCATCGCTCGGAGAGGCCTGAATCTCCTTTTATGATACAGGGCGGTGAAGATCTTTCGAGTCTGTTCACTGGCCTTTTGTGAGCTCAGCAGGGGCTGGTGCTGGTAGCCTCTAACAGACTTGGAAAATGCTGAATGCTTTTGGCCTCTGATCCCCTCACCTGTCCTCAGTTTCTAGCTAGACGTGGAGGCAGCTGGTGGTGTGACCTAGATTTTTTTTCCGGGACAAGCAAGCCTTTCAGAAGTGCTCCACCACTGAGTGGTCAGGTTGCCAATTCTGGGCTGCACCAGGAGGCAGACCAAAGTTTTATTATGGGCCACGAGAACTAACCCAAACAGGACACAGTATTTTGTTCCAAGACACTGAAAGGCTGGACAACACATCCAATTACCATGTCAGTTTACACAGGGAAGCTATTGAAATTCATAAATATAAAGCACAATTTCAACAGGAAAGAAGAAACTTTAAAAATAAATAGGGCATGATTTAGGATGCATTAACAGAAGCCTTGTGTCCAGATCACGGGAGGTGGTCGTTCCGCTCTATTCTGCTCTGGTCAGGCCTCGCCTGGAGTCCTGTGTCCAGTTTTGAGCACCGCATTTGAGGAAGGATGTTGACAAACTCGAGCGTGTTCAGAAGAGGGCAACCAGGATGGTGAGAGGGTTGGAATCCAAGTCTTATGAGGAAAGGCTGAAAGAGTTGGGTATGTTTAGCCTGGGAAAGAGAAGGCTTAGAGGGGTCATGATTGCAGTCTTCAAATATTTGAAGGGCTGTCATGTAGAAGATGGAGCGGATCTCTTCTCTCTTGCTCCGGATTGCAAGACTAAATCTAATAGATGGAAATTACAAGGGAGTCGATACCGGCTACATATCAGGAGAAACTTCCTAACTGAAAGAGTGATTGAGCAGTGGAACAGACTGCCTCAGGAGGTGGTGGATGCTCCTTCGCTGGGTGTTTTCAAGCGGAGGCTGGACAACCATCTTTCAGCTATGCTCCTGCAGAGTACAGGGGGTTGGACTAGATGATCTGCAAGGTCCCTTCCAACTCTAACATTCTATGATTTCCTGTCCTGAAAAACACAAAAGGCTCTACATCTGACAATAGCACTACAGATAAGATTAGAATTTCAGCAGCCAATCCTCATGCAAAAGAACCTCCTCATGAAACAATCCATTTGCAAAAGAACCTCCTCAGGAAAACTCCATTA